CCCATATGCAACCGTGCGTGTTTCAACTGCTTTATGTCACATACAGCTTCCTGCCTACCGCTTGGGAAAGCAGCAAAGGATGGCCCAAGTCCCTGGTACCCTGCACATAGATGGGTGTCCTGAAACACCTGGCTCCTGGCTTCAGACTAGCACAGTGTTGGCCATTATGGGATTTGGGGAGTGAGCCAGCGGATGGAAGATCTTCTCTCTCTATCTCTCCTTTCTCTGTAAAATCTTTCAAAACCAAATAGATAATTCTTAAAAAAAAAAAAAAAAACACTAGTTCTCTTCAAATCAAAGAAAACAAAAATGTTCATGTCTGATTTTTTTTCAGACTGTGTCTTTTTTTTTCTTTAACTCAATACATTTTGATTCTGCAGGTTAAAAAAAAAACCTTCAATTTTCATTTAAATCATATATTCATGATTAAATTAAAAAGCCTTCCTTACTCAATGTTTTAAATTTTGTGATTTATGGATTGTTTGTACTTAAATATTCTCTATTAAAATCATATATTGCATCCCTTTATATTAATGCGCAATAATTTTTGTTTCTTGTTACACCAAGTCATTTGATTTCTTTTTTATTCCAGTGTAGACTGTGTTATAATGACCATGCACATATTTTTCTGTACATTATTTTACTGCTGTTTCCATAAAGGTTATTCCTACCCTAATACTTTGCATCTGTCACCATGCCAAATTGCGTGTCCACAAAGAGTCAGTACCAGCATTTTGTAAAATGTTCTTGTAGAACATGTATTATGCAAAAGTATGAATGCACCACAAAACGTTTTGCACCAAGATAAATGTATCCTTAATTCCACCTGTCCGAGAACTTTTTGGAACTTTGCGGTGTGACAGATATTGCTTACTGGCACCAAGAACATGTTGCTAAACATATTTCCACTTTTGTAACTCTGTGCTCACACTGACATTGATTTACTATTACCTTGGTGTCTTTTTCTGTAGACTTCTTTTTTCAGCACTTACACTTCTAAACTTTTTTTTTCTCTGCCACTTAAGTGAAAGGTTATAAGGAAAAAGTGTTCCAACAAGTGCTAAACAGATTGAATGGAGGGAAATTCATTTTGCAATTTCTTCACGTGGGAAGATCAGTTACCCAGCAATGTGTCGAAATGCTTCCTTTGTTAGTGTAACAACTCCACTTTTTTTCTTTTAATGAAATTATCTCGATTACTTTATGCCTGCTCCTACAGAACACTTAAACTTCTACCGTTTCTATTGTCACTTGTTTGGGGAAAAGAAGCACTGGGACTGCCTGGGAATGAGGATCAGGCTTCCTGTCATTTTCTTGACTCCTACTCTTTCTGGGATGACAACAGGAGGGCAATTCAACCTTCTTCTCCCACCCGCTTCCATCACATGTGTTGCAAAGCTCCAGGCACATGAGCTGGAGCCTTCCATGTCCTCAAAAGTCTGCAGTCAGAAAACCACTCCTGCAAGATGAGACCCTTGCTAATTACAATACTAACATCTATTAACTTTTTTCATTCATGGCCAATTTCCATTCATTTCTTAAGGCTAATATTAATTGCAACTTTAAGAAAAAATAATAATGCTAAATAGGGCAAGCAACCTGGGAACCCGAATGGTATCGTCCCCTCTTGATACATATTCTCTCATTAGACACATTCACAGAGGAGAGGATGATTCCTCCCAAGAGCTGGCACTGCAGATTATTATTTTATTAAAAATGTATTTGTTCTAAGGTTATTGAATTCACCAGGTTAAAAAAAAAACTTACAAAGTGAGAGTGGGGATAATCAACTTGGTCAACGGTCTCAACGGATAATTTCAAATGAGGGTAAACATAGTGAAGAGAAAATACCAAGCAAAGTCCTCGGTCTTTAAAAGCCACGTGGGATAAAAAAGGAACTTCTAGTAAACATGAGCTTCGACAAATTTGTTTTTACTATAGCTGGCAAAAATTTCAGAAATATTTTCCAGTTAGGAGAATAACCATCCAAGAAAAATAAACAAATCTTTAATACTAAATAAAGTGACAAAATTAAGCCCTAGCTTATCAACTAGCTAAAAGCAATTTTGTTAGCGACAACAATGCATAGACAGGAATACAATTGACTGAAAACATGAACGCACAGTGTGTTGTCTCGAAGTCACTCCCTAAAGATAGTTGTAAAGGAAAAAAATTAAAAATAGAAGTGGAAAAGAATCATCTGGCAGACAGGAATTGCTCTCTGCATACGATGCAAAGCAGAGTAGAAACAGCCACATGCATACAGTGTAAAGTGATTCAAAGCGAAGACATTGACCAAGGCCAGAAAAGAACATGACTTTCGAATGATAAAATGTCTTGCTATGTTAATACTAAGTGCATTTGCATAAACAGATCTATAAAATATATTAAGCCAGATCAGATAGAAGCCAAAGAAAAATTAAAGAAATATACACCTATCTGAAAATTAATTAAAGCTCTCATTTCTCAAGAATTGATAAAATAACTAGATGCAAAAACCAGCAAAGATGCAGAACTCAAAAACATCATCAATGAACAGGATTTATTTTAATACATTTAATAATTCAATTTAGTGTAATTTAAACCTGTGTATTCAGTTAGGGCAAAATTCACATTCTTTTCAAATCTCTGTGAAAGATAAGTCAAGACAGATCCTGCAGCTCAAACATACAGCATGGAGGAAACATGGCGTGTATTGTGTCATGACAAGCACAAAGTAAACAGAAAAGTAAATGCAAACATAGTCAAGAACAAAACAACATATTTCACGGATTCCATGGATCAAAGGAAAAGTAACAAAAGAAATTTGAAAATACATCGAGTTACATGAAAGCAAGCATGACACATCAAAATTCCTAGAAAATAGTTAAGACAATCCTGTGGAGGGAATTTATAGTATTAAATGCGTGCATCAAAAAAGAAGAAAATCACTAGTAATCTTATTTTCCATTGCAAGGAAAACAAAGAATAAAGATACAAGTGCAAACAAAAGGAAACAAAGAACTGATTCAGTGAAACTGAACCAGGAAAATAAGAGAGAATGTCTGTGAAAGAAAATTTGGGATATTGAAAGATTGATAAAATTGACCAATGTGATGTACTAAGGAGAAAAACAACAACAGTGTAAGTAACTAATTTCAAAGCTTAAATACAGGAAAACTGCATAAATTAGGTACACATCAAAATTCTAATAAAGCAATGGGGCATAAACAAACCTGATGGTGTAGATTGAATAGATCACTTCCTTTAAAATCACGTCACAGGGATCTGCACTTTAGGGTAGTAAGCTAAGCCTTGGCTTGCAGCACCTCCACCTGTATGAGCATTGGTTCGCATCCCGATTGCTCCACTTCAAGTCTCGCTCCTGCTTGTGGCCTATGAAAGCAGCAGGTGATGGCTAATATCTTCTTGTGCCCCCTAGGGAGACCCAGAGAAGATTGTCTGCTTAAGATTGATTCCACTTTGAGGGGTTTCCGGAGCGACCCTGATGGTCATTGCCAGAGAGGGTGGGGACTCAAAGTTGGGACCAAGCGAGGACCAGATAGAGCTCCCCTCCCTAGTCCCAAAGGAAATTTACTGTTCTTCTGTTTCTGCAGACCACTCAGGGCTCTTGGCTGTTGTTCTGACCAAACGAAGAAACAAAAAATCTAGAATAGATAGACAGAGAACAACAAGGAACGCTTAGAATCAGACAAGAAATGGTCAGTGGGGATTCATTTATACCTTACTAGGTGGGACACAAAGATTAGTTACTCCTCACTAGGGTATTGAAGATTTCTCTGCACACCCCTCCTAAAACCGTTCTGCACCTAAACTGTTGACATACGTCTTGTTAGAGTTATAAGCCAGTCTAGACTACCCAAAAAAAAGGCAGGTTCAGCAAAAATTATACTTCAACACTATATACTGCTAAATACAAAAATGAAAATAGACATGAGACAGAGGAATAGTAATCTATGGCCACTTTAAGGTATATAGAACCCGGTTGTATATAAACTAAAATTGAAATGTCAATGAAGAAGTCACAGGGTGTGGTTGGGAACTTGCATTTTTTTTTCTAACATACTGGTTACTCAATACTATGTCAATTAATCCATAACATTATAAATTGTTGCTGATGTTATGTTGGGGCTTTTAGTTGATCAGGATGATACTTTGCCGGCTCTGTCTTCAGACCAGAGATGGTCTCCCCAAAAAGCCGTTGAACTTATCTGGACAATAAGATGCTGGACTCTATGCTTTGTAGATGCTTGCAATGAAAGAATCTCAACTGAACTTGAACTGTGGTAATGCAACAAGGTGGAGGAATCTACCATGGAGGGAGGGTTTGGGGAGAGGTGGGGGAATCCCAGTGCCTATAAAACTGTATCACATAATGCAATGTAATCAATTAAAAAAAAAAGATTGACTCAGCTCCAGCTGCTGTGGCAATTTGATTAATGAACCAATAAACGAAATATTTTTCTTCCCTTCTCTATTCCTTTCTGTGTCTTTCAAATAATTATTCTTAAAAAGTTAGAAGACTATAATAATTCATCCAACATGAAATATATAATCCAAGTAGTATAATGATGTTGAAAGAAATTGATTTTTTTTAAAGATTTATTTATGGCTTTTTACAGAGAGAATGAGAGACAAAGAGAAAGATCTTTCGTTTGCTGGTTCACTGCCCTAGTGGCCATTGAGGCTGGAGTTGCGCTCACGCAAGGCCAGGAGCCCAGAGCTTCTTCCGGGTCTCCCACGCAGGTGCAGGGTTCCAAGTCTTTTGGGAATTAGAGCAGTCAGGATAGGAACTCCTGTCCATATGGGGTTCAAACATGTGTCAGGTGAGGACGTTAGACACTAGGCTACTGTGCTGGGACCAAGAAATTGATTTTAAAGGTTTATTTAGTTCTTTCATCTCTGGTTTACTTCCCTCTAGAGCTGAATTTGCTTTGAACTTGGGAGCCAGGAACCAGCGTCACGTGGGATGTCTCAGAAGGGTGAGGCTGCCATTGCACCAGCCCTAAGAAACTAAATAATTTTCAAATTTCTCTAAACAAGAAATATCCAAGTCCAGATTGTTTCACTGGAGAATTATTATTTTTTAAAGGCATTTTCATGGAGAAAAGGAGAGAGAGAAAGATGATCCACCTGCTGACTCCTTCCCTTCTATGATGTACCAAGTAATCATATTTTTTGGAGTTTGCCAAAGGGAAAAATATTTTTACATGCACACTTGTACATGAATGTTTAAGACTGAAAGTGGAAATAGCCCGTATATCCTTCATTAGAGGAAAGCTTAAACAAACGGCAGTGCAAAGAACCAGCCAATGATGGAACAACTTGGATGAATTTCTGACAATTGCATCTGAGTGAAAAAAAGCTCCAAAAGAGTTTATGATCAAATTTTTATTTCATTTGCATAACTTTGTGGATATGAAAATACTATAGACAAGGAGAGCATGTTTATGGCTATCAGTGTTTCAGGAAGAGATAGAAGTATTAGAAAAACAAGCAACCACGAGGATACCAGTGGTGAAATGTTTTCTTTCCTGATCACATTATCCACAGTTTTCTGATTACAATATCATGCTACAGACAAGATGTTATCATCAAAACCAGTTTCATAAAAGTGCATGTCAGAGCTTTTTATAGTCATATTAATCTCTAATTGCCATAAATTAAAACTTTGATTTAAAATGTTTTGACTTCAGGGCCTGGCAGTGTGACCTAACAGCTAAAGCCCTCACCTTGAACACACCAGGATCCCATATGCGCGCCCGTTCTAATCCTGGCAGCTCCACTTCCCATCCAGCTCCCTGCTTGTGGCCTGGGAAAGCAGTCAAGGACGGTCCAAAGCCTTGGGACCCTGCACCCATGTGGGAGACCTGGAAGAAGTTCCTGGATCCTGGCTTCGGACTGGCATAGCACCGGCCATTGCACTCACTTGGGGAGTGAATCATCAGAGGGAAGATCTTCCTCTCTGTCTTTCCTCCTCTCTGTATATCTGACTTTCCAATAAATAATAAATCTTAAAAAAAAAAAGTTTCGACTTCAGGAAATCGAATGGAACAAATAAAAATACATACTAAGATACTGAAAGTAAAGCTAAATGATTACATAAGATTTCAGTTAAAACTTCAGATAAAATAATAACAAAATTAACTTACACATTGCTCACACAAATATCTCCAAATAAAAAATTCAAAATATATGAAAGAAATGGGGTGATAAAAAAGTTACACCATGAAACACTAAAAAAAAGAAAGTTGGTTGTCTTACGTCAGACAGAATAGATCTAGATATAACAGGTATTAGAGTCAAACCTTTTATGCAGTAAAAGTGCTAATCTGGGAAAAAAATTTAGCAGTCCTAACTTAATGTTCATTCAATAATAGTGTGAACATATTAGAAAACAAAAGCTAAGAATTTTAATGGGAGAAATTTGTAAATTCTTACTTCCTTAAGATCGTAACATCTTTCTCAGTGTGTGATATAACTGTTAGAATAAATCTCCAATTTTCTGCCTAAATGGCAGTTTTGTTCTGTAAAATCATGCACATGTACATACATGAAATCGCATGTAGAGCTAAGATGGTGTGGAATTGCATGGTCACAGCACAGATAATAACAGCACCCGTGTTATTATCTGAATGCCTTGGTATGTTCTGGCAGGCATGTCTCCATTTCATAGAAAGATACAAATGTGATATTCTAGTTTTTGTTATTTAACTATCTCAAAATCTCAGCATCTATTGTTTGATTAATACTGGAAACAACTCATAATAAAGGCAGTCACTGAGTTATTCCCCTATTGTGGCTCATATCTTTCTGATTTTTTTTTTGCCACAATTTGACAATATGCCAACTTATTCAGGACCATGCCTAATTTTATAATTAGAGGGCTCTGAACACTATTATCACAGCCCTGCAAATGTGGTAATACAATCAGACAAATAACATGGGTTGGATTTCCACCTCTTTCAAACAGATATAAAGGATAGTGTGGCCATGTGCCTCTTTTGTTATTATTATTTTTTTCATACAACTCTTCGGTTAATAACCTAGGAAGCAGCACTTGCAATAAAAACTCCTTACTAAATTCTTACAAATCTGAGAAGAATCTGAATTTGTAGAGTTCAGCACTGGTGGACTGAAAAGAAGTGGGGAATCAGTAAGTGAAGCCACAATGCAAAGAAGAATTCCCAGGTGGGTATGAAAACTAAACCTCATCCCCGAGCAAGGATGGATGTCATGTCCACAGCTACAAGGCTTTATTTTCCTGTCTTTCTTACTGCTGTATCCCCAACAACTTGAATATTGCCTGTGGCATAATGGGTCCCTATTATAGGTTGGCATTATGTCTCTAGAAAAAGGTCCATTTGGATCCTCACCTCCCTGTCCGTGAGTGTAATCTTAGTTGGAAATTAGGTTCTTGCAGGTGTAATCAAAATAGACTTTATTGAGATGAGTCCTAATCCAATATGACAGCATCCTTAAGAGAAGAGAAGACAGAAACAAAGGAGAAATATCAAGAGGAAACAGAAGGAGCCAAGTCAGTGATGTCGTTTAATCAATGCCACCAAGAGGCAGAAACGGATAAGCATCTTAGGCGCCGTCTCAGAAGGAACATTGCCTGCCGAGCCTCGGTTCCAAGCTCCGAGCCCCTAAAACTGACAGTACAAGTTTCTCTTGCTGTAAGTCCTTCTGTCCATAGCATTTTGCTATGGTAACCAAATAAAATTAATATAGTGCTCAATAAATGATTACTTAATAAAATACAGAAAAATAGTTTCAGTTAAAGCCCTCATTTAACATGTTAGAATATTATCGATAAATGTAGAATCAAATTTATTCTGGAAGAAATGAAAGCATCTAAGGAAAGCTTGCTCTTATCCCCTGCATGTGCCAGGAGATTTTAAGCTTCTTCTGATGTTTCTATAATTAAGCTCAAAATTATTTTTATAATGTTTCACAAATGAAGTCTGTTAACATATATGGTTTAAAATCTGAGTAATATCATAAAGCTATTCTGAAGGTTTTTCGTGTATCCATTCCAAGGAAAAAGCATTAAACCTTTCCTCGGTGACATTTCATTTCATTTGAATTTCAATTAATTTTTACAATTTTCACATTCAAAGTTCCTTCAAATATATATATTTGTTTATCCTTATTGGAAACACAGATTTACAAGCAAAGAAATTTAACAAAAAACAGAGGGAAAAATCCCCATTCTCTGGTTCACTCTCCACATGGCTGAGGAAATCCAAAGAACTGAGGAAATCCATCCAGGAGCTTCTTCCAGGTATTCCCATACAGGCTCAGGGTCCCAAGAAATTGGGCAGGCCTCCACTGCTTTTCCAGGCCATAAACAGGGAACTGGATTGGAAGTGGAGCAGCCAGAACATGAACTGGCACCCATATATGATTCTGGTGCTTGCACGTGGGTGGGTCAGCCACTTCAGCCATTGCACCAATTGTAAAAAATACATATTTCAGATGGTGTTGTGGTGAGCAGGTTGAGCCTCTAGTTGCAACACTGGCATATTATATGGGCACCAGTTTAATTCCTGACTACTCCAGTTTTGATCTGCCTTCCTTGGAAAGCAGTGGAAAATTGTCTAAGTTCTTAGGCCCTTGCACCCATGTAGAAGATCTTGATGGAGGTCCAGGGTCCTGTCATCATCCTGGCTCAGCCATCAACATTGCAGCCATTTGAGAAGTGAGTCAGTGAATGGTACTTCTCTTTTTCTCTTTGTGAATCTCCCTATCAACTGAATTTAATAAAACAAATTCTATTTGGCCCAGCGTGATTGCCTAGCAGCTGAAGTCATTGTCTTGCATGCACCGGGATCCCATATGGGTGCCGTTTCTAATCCCGGTAGCCCTGTTTCCTATCCAGCTCCCTGCTTGTGGCATGGAAAAGCAGCTGAGGACGGTCTAAAGCCTTGGGAACCTGCACCTTGAGGCTTGACCTGGTCCACTGGTACTGAATCTGTAGACTAGAAGTCTCTCTCTCTTGGCAACAATGACTTTCAAATAAACATTGTTTGTTGTAGGGAGTGGGGTGCTGAAACCACTCCGGGATTAGGAGGGGCCGTTGTAAGAAGGTGGCTGGTCCAGGGCCAGGAGGTGAGGTTGGTCTCACTAGCAGGTAAACAGGAAGTCACAGGGATAGGCTAATGCCCTCACTGTGATTACTGGCCTATCACGTAGCACCAAGTGGACCCACAGGGAGAAGTGATTGGTGGAGAATGATGTAAAAGTAGCCAGTAAAAGCTAGGAGAGGACGACAACAGAAGGACGGGACAGACAGACAGATGGCAAGGATGAGAAAGACTGGGGTTTGACAAGGAGAAAGACTGGGGAAAGAATGACGGACGAAATGGGAAGAGCGGCAGCAGAGAGGGGAAGAAGGGTTTAGATCTTCGGGTGGAAAAGTTAAGGTGTACAGAGAGGAAAAGCGGCATAGAGGGTTACAGACAGAAGCAGTAAAAGCAGTATGGACAGACGGGGACAAGAATGGAGAAATGCAGCTGAAAGTACAGGAGGAAACATGGGAAGAAGGGTGGCGGAAAGAGGGCTGGAGAAGCGGGGAGGAAAGCTTGGACCAACGGGGAACTGGGCTGTTGGGTGGCAGTGACAGTTCTTAAAAAACAAAAGCAGAGCCGTAGGGAGTCCAACGAGTGCCGCAGCATGATCTGCTGACATCACAAGTTGTGGCTTAACTCATCCTGCCACTGTGTTGAGCCCAGTTTTGTCATTTGTTTCTAAGTGTCTATTGACTGCAGGCAGTCCTTATCACAATCTAGCGACTCCTCTCTACCAAAACATTTTAATGTATTTAGAAAACTACCTCATTTCTTTTCTTCTAAATTAAATATATATATATATGGAATTTTCTCACGCTTTTGTTCTTACATTACAGTTTCCAAAATTTCCCTTCAATAATTATTGAAATTCCCTGGCTTTTAATGTCTGAATACCCATGGGTTCATTTTTTTATATGACCTGCATGAGCACCCAAAATAT